ATAGAGTTACAGACCTTTTCGCTAAAACAGCGAAACAATCATTGCCCTTAGACATAAGCAATTGCAGATGCGTTGTACACCCTTAATCGATTCCTTTGACGACATGCACATCAAAAGGATATTTCTTCTTTCCGTGCCCCTCCTGCGTAAGAATCCCTTTCTGTTACCTTCTTTTTATGCAAAATGCAGTATAGAGAATATGATTAATATTTTCTTAGTAAAAATATGTTTTGTTAATGTGAATGGACGTTGTTAGATACGTGCACGGCGCGTGCGACCCGGACGCCGAGCCGCAGCAGTACAGACAGAAGAAAGACCAGAACCCCTCCTATGAGTACAACTGTCCCATCTGCAAGTCTAACATGCAGATGTCCGGCTCCAAATCTGCTTGTAAGTACTACTTGATCCAAAAAAATATTTGATTAAACATTTTGTCTACATTTCTGAAATCAGACAAATCTTTCGAACAAAGAATAATTATGTTTAATTTATGACAGCTTTCGAAGATGATAGTTTGACTCAAAGTGGACAAGATTCTTCTTATGGCGAGGAAAATTCACAACAAGAACAGGATCCTCTAGCTATTGAGTCCAAGGTAAGATTCATTAAGGATTATTACATTTTATTTTATTTATATTTAATTAACTTTTACAATATAGAAAAGGGGTTTTGAGATTTCAATTCTGTGTTTTTGTTTTTTTAATAGCCTTTACAGCAGGCGGATGTTGGACTAGGAAAGGGCAAACCATTTTCGGTGTCATCTAAAGTGGCGAAGAAAAAAATCGGCGGGTATAAATTAAAAGGCGGATTCCCTCCAGCGGGTAAACTAGGCTTTCAAAAGCGGCAGAGAGCTGTTCTTGATTTCGGTCGCAAGAGGGGGTCGAAACCTAAAATGAGAGGGGTGTTTGGTGTTCCCGGCTTAGGACTACAAAGACCTCAAGCACCAGACAATAAAACTCCAGAAGATGACCCAGGTAATTGAATCATCTATACTATTATAATAAAGTGTAAAAACACACTTTTTTGTTACCTAAGATCTAAGCAATTACAGCATATTTTTGAATAATTCTTTCTTTAATAAAAATCCCTACACTTGCGTTACGCTTTACGCTATATATTTTCACGCCATTAAACTTAGGGGGTAAATATTTTAGATAAAAAGTTTAATGTGGGAAAGAGACTATAAGTTGTTGCCAACATCAAGAAAGCAAGATTGCCATGGTAAGGTAATTTGTTTTTTGACATTTACAATTGAGAATTTGACAAATGCAAACAATAAATTCATATTTTCATACAGATGTAACCGCACATGAACAGGTAGTCTGTAAAAAAAGTTTATACTAGATACCTAATTGATTGCTTTTTGTAGGTGTAGAAAATAAACTTGTGCTGTGTTCGAGTAAAGACAAGTTTGTACTGACACAAGATTTGTGTGTCATGTGCGGTGCCATTGGAACTGACTCTGAGGGCTGCCTCATAGCCTGCGCACAGTGCGGACAATCATACCACCCTTATTGTGTTAACATCAAGGTATGTTATCTGTATTTATTATTATTCTGTTCATTGGAAAATGAATTTAACGATTTCGGTATTTAACTGATTTTAACTTTTATTAACAAATTTCTATGAATATTTTACATACATTACATAACAAAGTATCAAAAGTAATTTGTAAGGAAATAAAATTAAAAATTCCATTTGTATTGCTAGTCAGCATAGCTTGAATACCGAGTGTAATGTATTCTTACTAATATTGTAAATGCGAAAATTTACATGGATGGATGATTGATGTTTGTTAGGTCTAAAAAGGCGCAACAGATCTTGAATTTTGGCACTGGTATTTATTTATTTTTATAGGAATGCTAACAAAAATTATTAAATATATATACAGTGGTTTAAACTCAGTTCAAAAATGAACATAAACAATGTGCAAACTACAATTTCTTTACATCTAAAAACTCAAAATCAGTCTTTAGTACAATTCTAAATGAAATTTGAAAAATAAACAATAATTATTTAAGTGGCTTTGATGAAACATTTTCAGTTAATTTTCTAAAGAATGAATGAATGTTTAGAACATAATCTAGAATTCTACAAGGCATAAGCTACGTTAATTTCATAAGACTGACGGGTATAAGCTATATAATTGTACAAATATAATACAAATGTACTTTTTATGTGCGTCTCCTCCTCCACCAATGAAGGGTAGGCAACGCATATGTAATTGCGGATGTCTATGGCCAGCGGTCGCTTTCCATTTCGGTGGATTCAAGTGGCCGCTTTCTCGTTTGCCACCTTATATTATAAAAAAAAATAATATGATCGATGTTGTGTAGGTGTCTCAGGTGATAGTGAGCGTGGGATGGCGCTGCCTGGACTGCACGGTGTGCGAGGGGTGCGGGTCGCGCGGCGACGACGCGCTGCTGGTGCTGTGCGACGACTGCGACACTGCGTGGCACACGTACTGCGCGCGGCCGCACCTCGCCGACGTGCCGCGCGGCGCCTGGCGCTGCGAGCGCTGCCGCCGCTGTCGCGTCTGCGGCACACGGGACACCCTCGCCTGGCGAGACAACTACACAGGTATTTACAACCCCCTCAGTGAATTAATACAAGAAATTAACCCTAGTATTAGGTTTATGAAAATATTATGAGTTATTGAAATTAAAAATCAATCTAGTCAATTTTAAAAGTTATTCATTAATACTTTTGTAAGACTATTCAAAATAAAAATCATGCACATGCTTCTATTATCTTGATGTTTATATGATACTAGCTCTAGCTCGCGACTTTGTCCGGGTAAAATTAAAACATAGTATAAATGTAACTCACAGATAAATTACCTTTCTTATGACGGAAGGATTATTAAAATTAGCCCAGTAGTTTTTAAGTTATTTCTAAAAATACAAATCTTACCTCTTTGTAATATTAGTATGTAAAGATTAACGCAGTTTGGATTTATAATGAATTAAAACTTTGTGTGTCGTGTGTGTTTTGTGTCTTTATTGTTTGTGTGACGTGTTGTGTCAGAGTGCGCGCCGTGTGCGTCGCTGGTGATGTGCTGCGTGTGCGCGGAGCCGTACTCCGACGGCGAGCTGATCATCCAGTGCGAGGCGTGCCAGCGCTGGCTGCACGCCTCCTGCGACAGCATACGCAGCGAGAACGACGCAGAGATCTGCTGCCGGACGGGGTACATCACTAATTATGATCACAAATTTACATAACATTTAGAAAGAGAACGTATTACGTGTATTATGTAATACGGTATTAAGTTTCGCCCGCGACGATAAAAAAAAAGGCAAATAGCTTATGTGTCTGTCCAGACAAATCTCTACGTACGTCTATGCCAAATTTCATCAAGTTCCGGTCAGCAGTTTAGGCTACAAACTCTCCATAAGCATCCATTCATCTAATCTATCGCATTTATAATGAAAGTAACATTAAAATTGTATACCCAACTTAAGGTATTTTCAAACCTTACACGGAATGTATTTGTCAGACACAAAGGAAAAGATTATTGATCCTTAGATTTAATTATACAAAACCATAGCAAATTATATTTTTTTGACATATGAAAGATTTAAAACCTAAATTAACTTAACTATAAACTAGATGACTGAGAGATAATAAAAAGTGTTAGCTGGTAACAGAAACAAAGGACAGTACTAAATGTATGTTGTAGATACAAGTGTATAATGTGCCGCGGGCGCGAGGTGCCGCCGCCGCACGTGTCGCGCGCGCTGCCGGCGGCGG